GTATTATCAAATGATGTCTTACAATCAAGAGCACCTTAGAAATTCGATGAAACATCATGAACCTACATCATAAACTAACTATAAAGAATAGATAAATAAGCATATAAAATTCAGGACCTAAAATATACCGATTTAAAACTTTTTTTCCCCTAAAAAAAAAAAAAGAACCAAAAAACAAACATGTGAAAACTACCTTGTGTTCACTGTATGCATGCACTGTTGAAAAGATTAGGCCCCACCTAGAGCAAGAATGGCAAGGGGTATATCGATAAGGAATCCAGGGTGAGCTGCAGTGATCAGTATGTCTCAAAGCACAAAAAGTGATGTGCCACCTTTTAAGGACAAAACGTACCAACCCAGGACATCCCAGTAAGGATGCCTATTCTGCCCACTGGACTAGTTTTGTTCACAAAGTAACAAGTCATAGAATCTTATCTTCTAAGATTTAGTTTTAAATGTGTTACCAACAGTAACCCATGGCTCGAAAGCCAGGGAGGCTTTGGCCTAACATTAAGTTCAAACTTAGTGCTGTAAGTTTGGAGAGAGGCTGCTGAGTGGAACTGTGTATGCCCACTAGCTGAGCACACAATACAGAACTGGAGACCATGAGGAGAGGGCCTGAGGGATGCTAGATACAGCAAATACAACATAGTAGGATGAAAGTTCAATTTATTAAGAGTGGAATTAATGCTGCTTTTAATAACAGCTTGAGATTTAAAGGACTGATGACTTGTTCAGTATGGCAGATGTCACAGATGAAGTACATAATCTGGAGTCCAGCAGAAATGATTGTCTAGATTTTGAGGATGAAGAATGTAACATATCTGATAACTTGAAAATTACTCTCTTCCTTGTTATATAGTTCTGGTATTCATTGAAATGCCAGTTTCTGTCAGAATTCATTTTTGTGGCTTGCTGTGCATATTTATCAGTGAAGATTTGCTTTTTTTTTTTTACAAGCAAACATGACATTGGAAATCATTCATGTGTTATTTTTTTGTATCTGTTGTACCAGTTTCTACCGAGCCATTTGTTTACCTACAAGTTTATTCAAGTTCATTGGATTTCACAACTTGCTTTGTTCCACTTTACAATTATATTTGCGTTCTCTGCCTTTATCCTATAGAAACTCGTTTAAATTTAGTTTACAGTTTGGCATGCTTCTTACTTATGTAGTCACCAAAACACCATATCCACATTTGCTTTAATGGTTGCCATATTAAGGTGTGGGGTTTTATTTTCCCATGCATTTGTATATTGGAGCACTTTGTTGCCTGCTTATACCAGCTTTCATGGATACTAATACATTTCTATAAGATAATGAGATTTTACCTTCTTTTAGTGTTAAATAGTTTCACATATCCAGAATTTGTAATTTCCTACTGGATACTAGTACAGAATGTACTGTATTTTTATGAACAAAATAATATGCTTCCCTTTGCAAACTACTTTTAAAAACTTTTTTTCTTTTCTTCTTCTTTTTTTTTTTAAGTAGGCTCCACGCCCAACATAGAACCCAATGCGGGGCTTGAACTCATGTCTGTGAGATCAAGAGTCAGACACCAGGGCACGTGGGTGGCTTAGTCGTTAAGCGTTCCCCTTCAGCTCAGGTCATGATCCCAGTGTCCCGGGACCGAGCCCTGGGATTGAGCCCTCTGCTCAGTGGAGAGCCTTCTTCTCCCTCTCCCTCTCCCTCTGCTTGCTGCTCTGCCTACTTCTGCGTGCTCTCTCTGTCTCTATCAAATAAATAAACAAAATCTTAAAAAAAAAAAAAGAGACACTTAACTGACTGAGCCACCCAGGTGCCCACCTTTTTTTAATAAACTTTCAATGAAGGTAAATGGGATATACTCACCTATTAAGAGAAAATGACTCTAAGATTGGAACACATAGCAAAATATAAATTTACTCTATTTAAAAGAAGCATCTAAAGTGAAAGATTCCAACAACTTGAAAAAAATGGAGATGTTCTAAATAAATCCACTAATGAAAAAAATAAAAAAGTGTTGAATACAATTAAAAAAATGCATTGCTATGCTGCCAACTAAGTAAAAATATGCCTTAAAGGTAAACAAAAGTTAAAGGGAAAAATGAATCCAAAGAGGCAAGAGAACCCTGATGTAAGCATCTACCCTGACAGAGCCTGCTGATCCCTGATGGACTTGAGCTTCCTTTCACTGAAAGCTGCATGGGGCTTAGGAGAAAGGAGACAAACCCTGGAGGCTGCCCAAAGTGCAGAGGCTGAGATGTACCCATAAGTCAGAATGCCTTACACCTGCAGTGAAAAGTGAACAGCAATAGCAACAATAAAACAAAATAAAAAAACAAATCAAAAAACAAAAATAACAAAAAACAAACCCAGAGGAGGAGCATATTGAGGAAGCTTGTCTGTTACAAACTAGATATTGGGAAAGGGGGGGAAAAAGGATTCACTTCCTGTGATGCTCCCAAAAATTCCAAGTCAATTATTTTAAAGTGGTCACTAGTCAGCAGGGATAAATCACCTGGATGAATTCAAATCATATCCTCTTTGGTAGAGTGCATTTTCCATCCAGACTTGAAATAATTATTACATATAAGGTTCCACTGTACATAAACACATTTAAAAATCACAAAATATGAGGATAAAAAGTACCACGAGCATCAGAAGAAAAAAACCAGCCAGCAAAATTGTACTTGTATGTATCTTAAGTGTTAGAATTATCTAATACAGACTATGAGGTACCTATCCTTCCTTCATGTTTATTTCACCCTACTGCTAAATAAATAAAAAGCCACAAAATTAAAAAAAAAATTTTGCTTAATTTTAACCAGAAAAATCTTGATGTATACTACCCGAACCCAAGAAAACAAAAAATTCCAGATAGAAAAATATATCAATTTTTCCACAAAGTAAGTTTATATAATAACAATAACTTGTAACAATATATATAGCTGTATATAAGCTGCAATGTAACGAAGCCTTATTGTAAACTTTTCTTCCTTCTGCACCATTTCCTTAACCCATTTTTCAATCTTCTGGGCAACTTATAGTTATTTTACACTCAAAGCACAGAGTAACATCTTTAGTTTAACTTTCCTGTGATTTACAAGGCCTTATAGGACCGGGCTCCTTCCAGTCCCTTTAAACTATTTCCCTTCCTATTCTTTCCTTAGTGTCTGAACTCTGGCGCACTGGCTTCTGTTCAGATCTTCACACTCCACAGACTCTGTTGTGGCTTGGAATCATCAGATCTTTGGCTCCTACCACCGGGAATATACCCTCTACTTCTCTTTACATGTCTGGCTCCTTCCCAGGATTCTAATCTCAGATGAAGTCTAAGGGACACAGAGACACTTCCCTCACTGCTTTGTGGGAGTTAGTCTCTTAGTCTCTCTCCTCCTGCACCACCATCCTCCAGCACTTTCCTCTGGCCAGACTCAGTGATCTTGATGAAAGACCCACAGATACTGCAATTCTGTACAGACAAGTGAAAGAGCAAAAGAGAATACTCAGTATAATGTTCAAATTGGGACTTCAAAGCTGACTGAGGTTACTTCCTTAGGGAAAAGACAAGGATGATACTAATTGGGTCAATGTTCTGGGGAGTCCAGATAGCAACCGCAACCTGCAGACCACCCAGGCTTGTGAATATTACCTGCAGCTCTTAGTAAGAGATGGTTTAGATGTACACATTCCCTCGAGTCCTGATGTGAATCACTCTGTTGCACTGCAGTCCAAGGATTCCCAGGAACGCGATTTGTAGTCCCTGTGCCACCTCCTCCTACCAGAGGCAGGCGACCTTAAATGGGGCCAACTGGACTTGGACTATATATAGATCACTCTGAGCCCCTGATGTGCTTGCCCATCAGTGGGAGCCCACTTCCAGGACCTCAATGATAACTTTGTTATGTGTGCTTGGTGATGGGCAAGAGGCCTGTCCCTTACACCAAAGGTTGATATTTGAAAAAATTTTCTGTGCCCACAGGGCCTCATCCAACATCTGGCTCAAATCTGGGAACCTGGCATTGACGAAGGTCATTCTAGCTGGTGTGTAGAAAATATACTGGAGGTGAACTTGATGTCCACGCTCCTAGGTGGTCCATGTGGCATAGAACTCGAACACTCCCTCTACCTGGTATACAGATATAGGTAACAAGTCCTGCTGGATATAGGTTCTATACACATTTTGTGGAATCCATTCTGTTATGTTTACTAAGTGCATGATTAAGATCTAGGAAATTTCTGTAAGGTTTTTCTTTTGGTTGTCTAACTTAAAATGCTGAAGAAGTGTCCTATGTATCAAATGATCTCTCAAGAGTCACCAAAGGGGTTGGCAGAGAAAACATGATTTGGGTTAGTTATTTTGTCCACCAAGTAGCCATTTCTCAGCCCCAGAAACCCAAAGTGCAAGGTGATGCCCCACCTCTAGCAAGGGCTTAGCTCTGCTGGTTTGTATAACTTTGATTCCAAGATTCCTTCTCCGTGTAACTGAAAGAAATTGGGGTTGAGTGAGCATGTGATAAGGACAATGGTTAAATGGGTTAGATCCGTTCTTTGCTCTTCTTGCTTTGACAGGCATTTAAGTCCCACTCCATTCTTCCTTATGTGAAAAGCCCGGGTGAGTCCAGGTGGGTGCCTGGTCTTGGACTGCAGTCATTTTAGAATGTCCCTTAGCCCAGCCCAGCCCAACCCAGCCTCCCCTCAGGCTCCAGATTCCTGACAGAAGGGATTTTATGTGCTCTTCACGTGATCATAAAGAGGAAATTTCTCTCAAGTTGTAGCAAACAGCCTTTCTGGAGAAGAGCATGCATTACCCATTCCCCACCTCCACCGGTGCCCCACACACCATGGCATTTTCCTACATCTGTGAATAAACCCAAGAGATCCTAAGTAAAACCAGTCCCTGGAATCACTTTGTCCTTCCACCATCACCAGTGAATTAATCTCAGAATTCCATCTTGAAACAGAGGTTAAAAATTCGCTTTTAGTATCATGCTGAGTGAAGTATTTCACATCATTATTTTAGTTTTAGTATTAAAGATTAAATTCAAAGGTAATAGTAAATTCATAATACTCCAAAAATTTACTTTTGATAAAAGGTATTATTAGTAACTATTACTACGTAACATTCATTTCCAAGGAGTTGGATGTTAGAACACACAGAGTTAAATTCAACCCTGGTCACTGAAGAAAAATCATCTTATTTCTCTTTGTGTTTACAAGCTCTTATTAACTATCTTCAAAGTTCTCCAAGCACTCACTTCAGAAAAAAAAAAAAATCTTGGCTAGTGGATAGCCAAGATGTACCTTCATAGAAAAAATTAATTTGACTTTAGTATACTTAAGTAGGGATACGACCTCTTCAAACCAAAAACCTCCCTTTTCTTCCTTTAGGAAATTAATGGCTCTAAAGAAATGTTTCAGTGAGAGAATATAAGCTCACATAAACCACTACAGTTCAATTTCTTATTCCAACGCCTTACTCCTGAAGGAGGTAGAAATATGAGAAAACAGCACATGTCATTCCTGAGCAAAAAGAGGAGTGAGGAGCCATAAATATAACAACTCTTAACTGATCAATTGACAATGGTAACTGAATCCACAGATAATTTCAAATTCTCATTTTGAAAAAAGTTCTCCTTTTCAGAGATAAAATATAAAAAGTAAAATATAAAGAGTAAAAAAAGAGAGTAAAAATCCTTGGTAACTGATAAACTGGATAGTCAGGTTTACAATCACCAAGGGTTGACTGGCAATACACTTTGTTACTAGGAAGCACTAACCAGGGTTTGTTGGAAGGGAGACTAAACAGCCATACTACTGAGAAAGAAAAGAATAAAGAAGGTATGTAGGGATAGCAAGAGTGAAATCTTTTGGTCCTCCCCAAATCTTCAAAATGTGCTGAAGTGTGACCAGGAAATAACAGTTAGCCCCTAGGCTCACAATAGAGGGGACATTGGCCTTCATGTACAGTCATTCAGGGCACTGTGGGGGAGCCATTCACTTTCTGTGGGGAAAGGGGAAGTGTGTGGTGCCCAGAGGAGAGCTCTTTGGTTGAGACTTGAAGCTTTGAGAAGTTCTCTATATATCAAGAAGTGGAGACTTGAGTTCATCTTTGGGGAGGGCCTTTGTTTTGTGAAAAGCTACTCTAATGGGCCCTTGAGTGATAAGAACTGAAGCAAGTCTTCACCTAATGCAGTGTTTTGGGGGAAAACTGACATCACAGTTAATCCGAAAGCAGATATTCTAGAATTAAACTGAGCAGCCAAGTGAGGGGGTGTGTTAATAATATACACAACTACAACAGTTGAGTTATGTTGTATTTTGGCATTGAAGTAAGTGTATCTGCCTAAACGAAGTAGCTCAGAGTTGTCCTAGATTCCAAATGAATATTTATTAAAATGAAAGTATATTATAGTGGTTTAAAATTAAAAAAAAATTAAAATAGGACTAAGAATCAGAAATAAAGATAATGGGAGCTCCTAAAGGCAGATGGAATGAATCATTATAATTTTCTTCTTGATTCCATTTCATCCATATAAGCAGAAATTTCTCCACAAAAATTTTGTGAAATATTGAATAACTCAGGGCTCATGATTCCTTTTAGAGTTTTTGCCCCTTCACAAAATAAGAGATTTTTAGGATCTTAGAGGGTACTTAAATACTCGTTGATTGGGTGAGATTTCATTTGCTAGAAAAGAGTTTAGTTCAAGTTCATCTAAAAAGTCCTTGAGAAATGAAGGCACCATTCAAGGTACACACTCTGATTTGATAGAGAGGCACTAGCTACAGGGTTCCAAGTTTCCATCCTTTAAATCAGTGGAAGAAAGGAAATCCAGGCTCTTCAGCTTAGCTTTTGCATCATCAATAAACTCCCTGGAGGCTTTCTGCAGTGGAGGCCGGGGTGGGCCCACTGGAATCCCAGAGACCAGAGTCATGATGGCTTTGGTCTGCGACACTCCAAAACCTAGACGGGAAAAATAAATAAGGAAATGTGACTGGGACCATCCACTTTGCCACAAACATCCTAAAGAAGAGATCATATTCTAGTGACTTCTATGATAGGATAAGGTGGAAGTAAAAGAGGGGAACATTTCTTATCACTATGGCAGACTGAGCAGACATACGAAATCCCTCTTCCTGCCTCGAACATATAGAAAAGCTGAAAATTTTTAACAAATTGACAAACTGTAAAACAAAACAAAGGAAGACTCTAAGTCAACCTCAAAAGCAAGAAGGAGGGACCAAAGGTACCAGGAATAAAGAGGTCAGTGTGGTGAGTTGCTGAAGCCAAGTGGTCCGTGAGGATAATCTGATTCAGGGATATACGACTATGGATCAAATGATGCAGGACTTCACCGCTAAGACAATTTAATTCAGTCACATCTAAGAAGTCCCTGAGAAATGCACTCCTTAAGATGCTGCTCTTTCAGAGCTCATGTTTTAAAGCTAGGGCAGGAATGCAAGATGAAGCCTTAGGTCTGTGCAGAGCAGAGGGCTGAAATTAAATACCCTATGTAAAACTGGTAGTCAGCCTTCTATGAAAGGCAATAGAAGAAAACCTGGCCTGCTGGCCTGGGGATGGAGAGGCACGGAAGCTTGACTTCTGCCAGGCTGTGGATGGAAAAAGATCATATGAAAGAAATCCCAAGCCTATGCCATCTCTGAATCTGGATCCATATTTGTGTTAGGCACTTGGTGTAAAAACTGGACTAAGAAATTAACCTAAGAACTGGTTAGAATTGGTGAAACTATAGTGTCCAACAGAGGCAAATGTAAAACCACTTGTTAGGACACCTTATAACCTAGAGCACAGTGGATTCTCCAGAAAACAACAGTCTCTGAAGACAAATTCAAAGTTAAAAATTACAAAACACATGAGAAAAAGAAGCTGCACAAGAGCTTGCAAATGCACAACTGACAAATCCCACATTCTGAGAACAGACGATACACAATTCTGAAAGAGACCTCACAGAGATAAAAGGAGGAATAGAAGCCATAGGCTAGGAGAAGGGCATATAAATAAAGTACAGGAAAATCTGAAAAAAATAAAAATAAAAATAAATATATTCAATGAAATGAAATAGTAGAAAGCAGAGTTGAACATAGAATTAGGGATGTTGAAGGTAGATCTAAGGAAACAATACAGCAGAAAGAGAAAGGTATTTGTTTTAACTGGCTATGGTTTTTGGATCCAAGATATGAGAAGTAACTTTCTTTTGCTAAGCTAATAGTAACAACTGAGCATATGGAAGGAAAATACTAGCATGACCAAAGACACAGAGTATAGTTTGATGAATGCAAAATGGCCCCTCCAGGCTTATTACAACTGGCAGAATAGGGAGCTACCCTCATAATAAGACTACAGGTTTATTAAGATAAGTCTCTCCTTGCCTAAACCATATAAGCTCCAACCTGCCAAAGAAGTTTGAAATGATTTTTTTAAAGATATGTTCTTTTAAATCATAAAAATTATCTACAAGAGTCCACTTTATGTATGTATGTATGTATCTATCTGTCTATGGTGGGGGCAGAGAGAGAGAGAGAATCTTAAGTAGACTCCAGGCCCAGCATGGAGCCCAACACAAGGCTCGCTCTCATGACACTGAGATCATGACCTAAGCTGAAATGGAGTTGGACGCTTAACCAACTGAGCCACCCTGGAGCCCCGAGTCCACTTTTAAAATGCAAATATTCTGGCAAGAGAGTAAATTCTTTCAGCTAATATCTTAGAGCTATATTTGGCAAAAATGTTGCAGTCTCACTGCTGGTATACAGAATGATCTTATATATACACAGGTACACTTTTAGTTCTAATTTTAATAGTTCAATATTTATTCAATGCACCTTAGGAACATACAAAACCATCACACCAAACCCACAATTTTGTGAAAAGTATTGCTTAGGACAAGGGAATAATAATAGGTAATTAATGATATTTGTGGCACATAAATATGACAGAAATCATGAAAGTGAAAAGCAGATGGGAAACACTGTCTTTGAAGAATTAAGAGTGCTAGCAGAGGACCCTGCAAGAATGCGGGCCATACCACATAATGGGTGCTTGGGGCTCGGGAGGAGTTGCCATAATAAGGCAGAACGGCTCTGAAAGGGAGGTGGGAGGTCTGCCAAGAATAAACCTAAAACTTTTCCTGGACTTGACCCAGGTTCTCAGGAAGCGCTAATCTCCTCAGAAGTGGGGTGAATGGTGGCATTTGTCATTTGTGATGGGATAATATTTAAGAGACTCTGAGAAGGCTTCTCTATGCAAATTTACTATATTTCCCTCAAATTTTACTTTGTCATATTATCCAAACCTCCATCCATTTGAGCTTACTTATGTTAATAAACTCTTTTTACACTGCAAATACTCTTGGGAGAGCTGTCAGTCATTCACAATTTAGTAAGATCTGTATTCAGACTGCCTTCCTCCACGCACTCAGGCTGAAGTCAGCCACGGTGTGGTAGAATTTTAATGAGCAGAGGCAAGTAGAGGGAGCGAATGCTGAGAAGGATCAAAAGATGGTGTGCAGAGTGGGAAGGCAAGCAAAGTGCTAAGACTGAGGAACAAGAATTGTAGAAGGGTGCCAACTAGATTTACTTCAGCACTTTATAGCGTTGGCCCTGAGGCTAGTATTGGAAATAAAACTCTGCTTGCAACAGAACATTGAAAGGTGTCCTTGTTGAACCCTCACGGAAAGTGACAGTGTTCCATTTCCTTCAAACTCACAGCAGACAAAGTAGAAAACTTACCAAGTTTGAGCACAAAGTTGATAAATCTCTGAATACAAAACTGGAAAGGAAAAAACAAATCTACAGTCAGTATTCCATAAACTGTGGTAACAATTTAGACATTTTGGAGGTCAAAGGACAGAAACCCCAAACGAAAAAGCCCACCACCTTAGTTCTCTGAAGGCCTGTCAGAGTGGAGAAAAACAGCTTAGTGAGGATGGTTGAGATCCATCCAGGATAAGGTAGGATCTTTTTATACATGTAAGATTTATAAAAAGGGGCCATGAGAAGAGAGGTGCCAAAGACAGAATTGTACAGTAGAGTTAAGAAAGGGGTAGGCATCCTTCATCCATCTAGCTGACCCTTATCCATCTAAATTTATCAGCTAGTGAGGTTGTTTTCAAACTGGGGTACGCAAACTTCTGAGGTACTCTCTAAGGGGCACTTAGCAAGGCTAAGATTTATGGGAATAAATAATTTCTAGATCCTAAACTTCCGTAAGTGCTATTTTTCTAAAACCGATGAGACTAAGAATTTGCATGGAGGTGCAGATTGTTCTTTTAGATTTCCTCTTCATAAGTGCTTCTTTTCCCACTTTTGAAAAAAATAAAGACAAATCTCCTGTATCACTGCCTTGGGACACCTCTGGGAACCAAATAAAGGAGCAGATCAAAATACTGGTATTGGCATCGACAGAGTGACAATGCGATTCCTCTAATTAATGGGTAACATGTCCTCTAAAAAATCAGAGGGCTTTCAACTTTTGCTTTCAACATTGCTTTCAATGTTGCTACTCAGGCTGTCAGCTGAAAGTCACTAAAGCATTGTGTGATTTTTAACACAACTCAAAAAACTGTTCAAAGAATTGAGTGACATTGCTATAACAAAATTTCTTCTATTCTTACTACTAATTTATATGAACAGGGTTTCATAGCATTTATTTCTCTAAAAACAAAAAACAGAAATAGTATCAATGCTGACATGTAACTCATCCTAGCATTAAGTAATATTCGTCCATGAATTTGTGAACTAATTCATAAAGGCAGACTCCCATCCATCTCATTAATAGATGCATTTTCGATGACATTTTATGTTGTTTTAACCAATTACATACAGTCTAGTAACAAAAAATTCAGTACAGAATGAAATTTTAACACCCAGAGCCTTAAAAACATACATGTATATGTTCTTTTTTCCCCCCTCACACACAAACTAGTATATTACATTCACAACTCTGTCCTCCACTGCTTTTGTACACTTAAGAGATCATGGAGTCTTTCCAGATCTGTACACAGAAAATGATCTCATCCTTTTAAGGGCTGCATATAATTCCATTGCATAACTCAAATAAAAACTCAATGTTTTTAACCATTTCCTTATGGATGGATATTTGGGTTGTTTCTGTCTTTTGCTCTTATAAACAACGTAGTCTGGAACATCTCTGTATGCATGTCATTTCACTTATGTAAATATAACAGATGGCGTTTGAGTCCATGAGAATGAATAAATTCTGCCCTTTTTGCTGGCCTGCTTCTTCACCTGACTGCAAATTCCTCTACAGCAGAGACCAGCTTGACTGAAGTTACGCACTTGGCTCAGCCCTTGGCATATGAATAAAGGAGTCAATGAGACCCAATCACACTAGCCTTCTGTAAGAAAAGCCAGAGAATGTGGTAAACTACATTCCTCACCAATACCATTTTGAGTGGGATGACTTATGTGAGTGGGACTAATGGGAGGAAAAGAGATGGAAAACGGGACTAGTCAATAAAAGAAGCTGCTGAAAGGAAGGGCTCCTCCCAGGGCCATTTTACTGTCTATTCAGTCCTATGGTTTTCCTGTCATACAACTCAGAACAGGTTGGAATTTTCAGAACCTGCTCCAATCTTGCTTATGCCTTTCACTCCCACTTATTTCCCTGGGGTACTCCACTTAGCTACTTTTACTATTTTGAAAATCCCTGGGCCTCTTGGCCTCCGAAAAGTCCTTCTCTTGTGCCTATGCTGTTTCTTTCCACCTCATTCCACTTACCTCAAGCACACATATTACCCAGCTGCGAGATTGGTTCTGCCCTTCGTGAGGCTCTCCATTCTGTGGACAGCTAGCCTGCCCTTGGTGTAACATTAATGGCAGGGGCCATTTCCCCTAGGGTCTTCCCTATAACACATCAGCTCCTGCAGCTTTTCTCCTCCTCTCTCCAAGCCAGTGTCTCCTTTTAGATCACTCACTTAGCTCTTGTTTCTGCCTGGTAGATGCTTCCAGTTCTCAGCACATGGCAGGTGAAGATGACTGACCTGCTCTGACTTTGGATTAAGTCTCCCCATTTTGGGTTACCAGCTTCACAGCTTCTTCATATACTCTGGAGACTTGGGTGTGAAGTCCTCAAGGGGATGGCATGGGGTCATTTCCCCAGAAATCTATCGCTATTATCTTATAGTCACAAAAATACTTTGAACATAGAGTAAAAATACGATTATTTCTAGGAGGAAGAGAGAGAGAAGTCATTCCCGTATGGGGCCTGTCCTGATTAGACATGTAGGGAACACAGACAATGGGAACAGGTCTGGCTTTAAACAAGAACAGGTAAGAAGCAGAAGGAAAGTAAAGAAAGAGGCAGCGAGGCAATTTTAACGAGGGCAGGTGTGCTAGGAGTGCTGATGACAGACAATAAGAATTATCCAGTGGGAAAGAAAAGTTAACCTGATGGTTCAGGGCTGAAGAGAAGTCCTTTCGTTCGAAAGCCTCCAACATCTGGTTTGTCTTTTTTCCCATGTAGTTATAGGTACTGGAAAGAAAACAGTAGACACTGCAGGATCAGTAACCCAGCGGGAGAAGTCTAGATCTTCAAATTCCTTTGATGCCTAAAAGGGAAAAATATACCAGGCCTCCCAGAAGTCTATTTTTTGGCCCTAATCTATTAGCGATCAGGTGTCTTCACTTCTGAGTTATCCGGCGACAGTAAGCAGTGCCAAGAGGAGGCACAGAATACCAAAGGGGATAAAGAAAAGGAAGAAAAGTCGGAAGAGGATAAAGTTAGAAAAAAGGGAAAAACGTTAGAGATGGAGGTGTAGTTGGTAGTGAATAACAGAGGCCAACACCTGCCCCAGGGCACATGTGCAGGCACAAAGCTAGATTTGAACTGTGGGTAAAATGTAGTATCTGAGGTGAGGCCTAAAGCCTTATGCCGAGGAACTAGGTGAATGGGGCGAATCCCAGCAGATTATCTGCGTTCTCTGCCAATTTATATATTACCTGTAATATATATGCTTATACAATTTATATGTTACCTAGAGACTACTTTCTAATAATAATAATAATAATAATAAAAGATGATAATAAAATGAGAGATCATTTATTGTCTATTGTGTTCCAGGTGCTTGACATAAATCATGTCTAATCCCCTCAAAGCCCTGGCTTCTCTTTGGTTGTGAAGAAACTACGACTTAAAGAAGGCTACACAATTGTGGCAAAGGCTCTCATCCCTTCATGCTGCCATCTACTACAATTCAGCACAAGTGAAAGTGAAAATAAGTTATTTGATCTGATAAAATGTGGACTTAAAAAAATAATATCCAGGGGCGCCTGGGTGGCTCAGTCATTAGGCGCCTGCCTTCGGCTCAGGTCGTGGTCCCAGGGTCCTGGGATCGAGCCCCGCATCAGGCTCCCTGCTCGGCGGGAAGCGTGCTTCTCCCTCTCCCACTCCCACTGCTTGTGTTCCCTCTCTCGCTGTGTCTCTCTCTGTCAAATAAATAAATAAAATCTTAAAAAAAAAATAATATCCAACTCTACCAGTAAAGACAAATACCTCAGACTAATCACTGAATTCTTAGAGAAATCAGCAAGGTAGAAGTGTACAGCAATTCTTAACAAAGATGTTTCTGCAGTTTCTAGCAACTTCTCATATAGTAAGTCAGTCTCAGAAAAATACATTTATCTTGATGTACCAAGAACAAAATATTGTTGGTACTTGATATATGGAGACCCTGGAGTGAACAGCAAGGGATTCCAAGAACATGAAGTTCACATTATCTTCTGGTAATAAAGTAAGGAAAAATAAAATACAATAGCTGAGAGAAGTCCCTTATAAATGTGAAACACTCCTAAGTCACAATATGCCTGAGGAGTTTCAGAATACTAAAATTCAAATCCCAGGGGCCTTAGGCATATTTAATTAGAGAGAAATGTAATTATAATTAAGAAGAAATAAAGTCTAACGAAATGTACTTTGCTTATAGATTATGTTGACAGAATTAAAATACCTAGTATGGAGGCCAAAAAACAAAAGTCAAAAAAGTAAGAATTTCTGGGGGAAAAGAAAGTAAGAATTTCATGGTCAGCAGCAGATCCAGGCATTCAGGTTCCCGTGGTAGAAATGTCCCTGTAGTGACAATGGATGTCACAGGACGTCACCATCCTGGCTTGGTGAATAAGCCATTGAGATCATCCAACTTACGTATTCTTCATCAAAGCCATGCTCACCTAGACATGTTATCAATACTACTTTGCTTCTCCTACACTTTTCCTATATGAAGGAAATGCACTTTCAGTTAACACGAATATTTCACTCAATCCCTTGCAGGCACGTTTCTAATGAATTAGGTAAACATGTGCAGTGGACATGCTAATCAAATTGCCTGCCTCTGCCTGAGTAGGCATCAGGCCATGTAATTCTACTTAGCTGGCTGCAGCTGACTGGACTTAGGTGAGCCCAACAGGCAGTGCTATCTAGTGATATCCTGAGATGAGATTCACGACCGGGCAGCCACAATTGGCCATGTGCATGCTGAAGCATAGAGAGCGCACCTGGAGAGCAAGAGAGGGAAAGAGAGAGGTATGCAGAGAGACGCAGGGGTGAGAGTCTCCAGAGGACCACAGATGGAGAACCATCTGTCCTGGCTGTTGAGCGTTTTGCAGGCCTGGGTTCTCATCTTCTCTGAGGCCTGGCTGCATTTCCTCCTCTTGAGTTTTACCTAATTTCCCAGTAGTTTATAATAATGTGTCTTCTTCCGCATTAGCTACTTTCAATGGGTTCCTGTTACTAATAACTAAGTAATTTCTGACAAATTCTGTGCATGCTCTTAGCTCATGTGCCTCACCTCTAATTGCAACAGATGCTTCTAAAAACAGTGACTGAGTTGCTAACAAACTGCTAAGTTCTACTTAATTCCTTTTCGCTGAAAGACAGGGGGAAAGAAAGGCAGCTTTTGTTAGAAAAGGTGTCCATGCAATAAGTATAACCACATAGGCGGCGAATGCCTCCATGGGGGTACTTTACATTTATAACTATGGGGAAAAACGAGTCAGGCTTACCTACCCACTGCTCCAGTCGCTCCCATCACCAGGGCACTCAATAGCTGCTAAGCAAAAACAGACACAGGGTATTCACTTTTAGGAAAAAGAGTAAGAGAAAAAAAAATGTTGCTATCTCAACAGCTTTACAAATTGTTCTGGAGGACAACAAACCTGCTGGGACAGGCCAGTGGGCGACTTACCTCATCCACCCCAAAAAGGAAAGCAAACTGTTGCTGGCGATTCTGATCAACACATTGCCCGAAGTCTAAGAGATCGGTGTCACTGAACTTCAGCCCTTGGAAGGTGGGGATCTTATCCTGAATCCCATCCAACAACTCCTCAGCACGAACTGCTCAAAACAGAAAATGCCTCACGAATCTGCACCCCTCCAGAAAATGTCAAATCCCGCCTTGTAGAGCCCCTCACATCTGCCCTGAGTGCCAGGGGCTGTTCTCAGCTGGACGTCCCTTGCCCTCACTTAGGAGTTCCTATGTACTCATCAAATTTCAGCCCCCACGCTTCCATTCCTTGAAGACAACAGATGAACGTTTCCAAAGCACAGCTTCTATTTTTTTTTTCTTTTAAGGAAGTAGAAAGGAATTGTATCTAAAAAATAATCTCCTAAGAAATCTCATCTAATTGTAACAATCTCCTTTCTGGAGAAGCATAGTAACAATAAAAGAAAAGTCAAAAGAAGGGACACCTGGGTGGCTCAGTCGGTTAAGCATCTGCCTTGGCTCAAGTCATGATCCCATAAGTTTTAAAAATCTTAAAAAAAAAAAAAAAAGAAAGAAAGAAAGCTAAAAGAAGAGTGAGGAGGGATCAAAGTACCTTCCTATGTACCAGGCACTGAGAATACAGTAAAGTACAAGGTAGACACAGTCTTCTTCATCCTTATGGGGCTTAGAGGCTTGTGTCTTCTCATACACGACACAAGGTGTCTGCTAGAAATGCATCTTTCACACTTAAAAACGTTCATTATAAGGTAGTGTCAATGATTGATAAGAGGGACTTATTTTTGATAAGACTGACTTATTTTGGAGCCAATCCGAAACATCCAGTCAATAGTTTTATGCTTTTGTGACACAGGGTGGAGTGTGATGGAGTGGGAGTTTCTCAGCGAAACAGGGTAAGATGTGAGGGATGGAGGGAAAGAAACATGGAAAGAAGCAGTACTTACTCTTTACCCCTGTCAAGGCCGGAATGTGATAATAATAAAATGGCAATGTTGGGGCGGCAGCAGCTACCTCCTTTAGGAAATTAATCAAGGCATCTGAAAGAATAGCAGGACAAGCCATGGTGTGAACAAGTATAAAACACTGGCTTTCCCTGGTAAAAAAAAAAAAACAACCTAACCATCTATTGAAATGTAACCATCCCTCTCAGAAGCTGAAAATTCTCGATCTCTCTCAACCATCCCTGAGATCAATACTGGAATGTCTTTGCAACTCACTTCATTCAAAGGTTTATTTTCCTTTCTGTAGAAAGGCCAAAATAAGATGATCACTTTCCTGCTGTCCTTAAATACTATTAAAAAACTGGTGCAAACCTTCCCACATATTAAGAGAAGCTCTTGAAATACTCTTATCAAAGCCAGAAGCCCGTCGGTTGGACTCTTGTGTTCTTACCCCACAAGGGCTAAATGTGGCCAGTGAATAAGGAATTTGCATTAGGATCAGAATCATCAAGTTGTAACTGAGAAAATTCTACAACAAAAAGATAAACATTTGCTCAAAGAGGGAAGTTATAAGAATAGTGGCACACCTCACAATAATTCAACCAGAGGTTGGCACTTTTCCCATTTTGGGAGAAATCCAGATATAGCAGAAGAGAATTCATTCTAGTTTACTGAGGATCTGCAATTTCCTACATCATCCTCCATGAGCTTTCACTGCGACATTACTGCAGAAGATGCTTACACTGGAGAGTGGGAGAGAAAATACTTCATCTGAATACTGTGATGATGTACTCTGTCCATGATAAATATTTGACAAAAATATTATGTATAACTCATTATCTTTCCTTTGTCTTTTTGGGAAATGTATTCATGTAAAATTTTTATAACCATGTGAAAAAACTTAAAATGTTCATTCTCAATTCCCAAGATGGCAGTATTTAAATTACTTATCCTATATTGACAATTATTTTTTCTCCACCAATAATCGATGGTATTTCACAGTAATTTTGACCCAATTACATTTAGTTATGAATTTATTTAATCATGCATGCAATCATGGATTGTCTGTTTTCAATTCTTTCAAAATCTGTATTCCTTTGTTTGCTCATCAGAAGGATTAAAAAGACTCAGTATACTTGGAAACCACAAATAGTTTCCGTAGAGAAAGCAGAGAAGGAGAAAGTAATTAACTTGGTAATTTGGAAGACCATGGATCTTTCTCTGAAATCCCCCTTAAATTCATTACTGACTCAGCCTTGAATAGAACATGTAGTCTCAAGATGCCCATCACTTATATTCCTCTTTTTTTGAGAAAAATGATCCCATGCTTTGCCATGTAACTCTGACTCCCTACACAACTGATTAGACTAGGGGTGGACGCCTGAGCCAACACAGGCACCTGTAGGTTGACCTGGGGCTTGGTGGATGACCTAATCAGATTACTTGGCAAAAGAGTTGAAGCCCTTCTTAAAGGAGTCTTTTCTTGTATGGATCCAGGGAGACCAAATATTCTGGACAGCTATTGTACCGCTGCAAATTCATGCCCATAGAAGTCCATACAACTTTACTTTCAGAAGGTCAGCATGACCATTTTGAATGAAGGCAAAAAGAAGTGGACCACATGAGGCACTGTGTATTTAGACTATTTGCTTACCTTTGTTCCATGGCTTGAGAAAGAAAGGTGCAATGACAGCGATGCCATCAGCTCCTATTTCTGCTGCATGTTGGGCCTTTAAAAGAAGAAAGAAGACCATTATGGGTTTGGTGACAATTTCGATGTCTGTGGGTTGGGGGGTGGTTTCCCCACATCAACAGGCAATTCTCTGATACCAGCTGCATGTCCTGCAATTCTACTCAACTCTGATACTATCTACCTGGAGACAGATTGCACAGGTTCAGGGCTCCATCCTACAAGACTACCCCGCTTCCCTGAACTTTAGATGACAGTCACAAACCTAGGTCATCACCTGTGCTTCTGACCGACTGGCTACAGAGCTGGAGGTTCTCATGATTCCCTCCTTGGGTCAATTAATTTGCTAGACTGGCTCACAGAACTCAGAGGAACATCTTACTAGGCCACCAGTTTAGTGTAAGAAGATATTAACTCAGGAACAGCCAGATGGAAGAGATCCTAAGGCAAGGTATGGAGAGAGGGGTGTAGTTTCTATGTGTTCCACTCTCCCCAAATCTCCACATGTTCACCAACCTGGAAGCTCTCTGAAACCTGCCCTTTTGGGTTTTAGTGGAGGCCTCACTACATAGGCATGGTTGATTAAATCACTGGCCACCAGTTGGATATATTTGAATCATTTGTTTAGCACTCCATTAGGACAAGAGTAGAAGGATAACCTTAGCTGAAAACAAGAAAAAAGGAAACAGCTAAGAGACAGTTGATGGCAGTGCCCATTCAAACATCATCCTATGGAGTTATGGCTAAGCAGATGCCAGATACAGTCTCATTGGCAAGATTATCCCCATAGTAGGGGATTATCCCTACAGAAGGGGATTATCTCTATCCTAAGATTATCTCTACACTATTCCAGTGTTCGGCTCAATGGATGACAACCTTTCACGTCATGACAATATTTTAAAATTTATATCACACATAGGAAAAGAAAGCAATTAAAAAGAGATGAAAACAGGGGCTCCTGGGTGGCTCAGTCATTAAGTGTCTGCCTTCGGCTCAGGTCATGATTCCAGGGTCCTGGGATCGAGCCCCGCATTGGGCTCCCTGCTCAGTGGGAGGCCTGCTTCTCCCTCTCCCACTCCCCCTGCTTGTGTTCCTGCTCTTGCTATCTCTCTCTGTGTCAAATAAATAAATAAAATCTTCAAAAAAAAAAAAGAGATGAAAACAAATTTCCTACATCACACTATTTTAATCGAAAGCCCTATTGAAAGAAGAACAAATCACGCATAAGAAGAATAAATCAAGTCTCCAAGTTCTGATTCTAGGCTTATTAAGCAACCACCTACCAATATGCCTTCCCTTGTGGCTTGCCTAAGAGTACTGAATTGCAATTTTGCAAATATATATTTTATGTATATATATATATATATATATATATATATATAATATATATCCCATTTCTAAATTCAGTAATAGGAAAAACAAAACCCATCAAGAAGATGTTGGGGCTAGATCAAGTCATTGTAATCTTTGAAATCAGAATATATAAATTCTGAAAACATGGTTAATTTAGTAGTGGTCCAGTTTCTGGGCCTGCTGGTAAATACCTCAACACTTTCGAGCTTTCTTTTTTTACCCAATTCACAAAGTCCTCAAAACCACCAGGTCATGTACTTTTCTGCCAGAAACTTTAACTCCTTCCATTCCTGCCCTTTGCTCTACCTAATCTGCTAATCTCTAAACCTGGAGCAATCCAATTGTTCGTGTTCTTGAACCTATATTCTGGTTGAAGACTATACCTAGAAAGAAATTTTCATAACTTAGTTGAATGGTGGTAAGACAGATTTATGACTTACAACTTCAGTTGGTTTTTTAGCACCAAAGGGCAATCCTTTTTATTTATTTATTTAAATAATTTTTAATTTATTCATTTGAGACAGAGAGATACAGAGAGAGAGAGAGCAGGAGCAGTGGGGAGAGGCAGAGGAAGAGGGAGAAGCAGACTCCCTGCTGAGCAGGGAGCCCGACGTGGGGCTCGATCCCAGGACCTGGAGATCATGATGTGAGCTGAAGTCAGACACTTAACCATCTGAGCCACCCAGGCGCCCTGGGCAATCCTTTTTAAAAAATTAACTAATTAGAGGTGGCTGGCTGGCTTGGTAGAGCATTTGACTCTTGATGTCAGGGCCATGAGTTCAAACCCCATGTTGGGCGTAGAGCTTACTTCAAAAAAAAAATTTTTTTTTAATTGTGATGAAACCACATAAAATTTACCACCTTAATCATTTTTAAGTGTACAGTTCAGTAGTTTTAAGTATATTCACATTGTTATAAAACAGATCTCTAGAACTTTTCATCTTGCAAATCTGGAACTCTATACCCATTAAATAATTCTTCCTCTCTGCCTCTAGGCCCTGGCAACCACCATTCTACTTCCTGTTTTTATGAATTTGACTACTTTAGATACTTCATTTCAGAGGAATCATACAGTATTTGTCTTTTAGTGACTGGCTTATTTTATTTAACTTAATGTCCTCAAAGAGGTTCACCTATATTATAGCAGGTGGCAGGATGGATTCCCTTCCTTTTTAAGGCTGGATAATATTCCATTGTATTGTTAAAAAGAAAACCACAGGACCCAAATGGAGTCACTTATGTTAAGGACCCATGTCAGCAAACCAAGACTTAATACCTAACCTGACTTCAGTTTCAATCCTCCCAGGAATGTAACCTTTAAACTGTCAACATGGAATTTCCTGGTCAGCCCTAGGAAATTTACTGTCAGACCCCTACCATTGCCCTTAGGAGGGCGACCTTGCTTAAAACAATGTGTTCTTTGCTAATAATTTCCTTTTTCTTGCTCCCTCTCTGTCTTTTACCTTTCCTTTTCCACAGCTCAATAGAGCTCCTTTCTATTTGCTAGATTGGATGCTGCTGGATTCATTCAATAAAGCCAATTTGATCTTTTAAATTACTCATTTGTATTTTTGTCCTTTAATAGTACGTATATACCATATTTTATCTATTTATCCATTGATGGGCATTTGGGTTGCTTTCACCTCTTTCTATTGTAAATAATGCTGACAAGAACATGGGTGGAGACAGTCTTCCTGTGCTTCAGTTTTCCCTCCCATTCCCCTGGCAGTGATTCTCAATTTTTACTTCTCTTCATCTCTGAACCCCATCTTCCATCTCCTTCATGCCCGGCAGATGGCTTCGCCTTTTGCTTCCTAGAGAAACTGAGGTTGGCTCAAGGTCTTCTCCCTATTTGCAAACTGAGCTACCTCTATACCCACCCCTCGGAGGAAGACGGGCCTCTGTCTCCTACTCAAAACTCTGCTATAGAAGTTACCACCTCGGGCTACTCTCATTATTGCTCCATGCCTGCTTCTGGATGGTGAGCTCTGAGGTCCCACACCTCATATTCCCCAATGACAGCATCCAATATACAGCAAAAATGGTACTGAGTTTAACTTCAGCATAAAAAAAGGAGCCCCTTCCCTTGTGCGGAATCTAAAAAAAAAACCTGAACAAATGAACAAATAAACAAAAAACCAGAAACAGGCTCATAAATATAGAGAACAAACTGGTAGTTGCCAGTGAAGGGATGGGCAAAAGAGGTGAAGGGGATTAAGAGGTACAAACTTTTAGTTATAAAATAAACAAGCCACAGAGATGAAAGGTACAGCATAGGGAATGTAGTCAATAATATGGTAATAACATTGTATGGTGACAGATGGAGATTACACTTATCCTCGTGGGCACTGAGTAATGCACAGAATTATCGATTCACCATGTCGTACACCTAAAATGAATATAATATTGTATATATCAACCATGCTCCAATAATAAAAGGAAAAGGAGGCCCCTTGAGTGGTCTCTCCCAGATGGACCTACATACCTACCAGTTCTTGTGAATCTTTCAAGCTCAGGGCTCCTACATGAATTACCACCTGATCCAACCTGCAAAAGAGAAAAGCTGTTGCATCACTTGGAAGTTTACAGTAACATGGAAGGAAGGGCTGAACTACCCTGGTTTGTACTGGTTTTGGCAGTTAACTAATGTTCTGCTAATCTCAACCTCAAAACTATTAAATTCTATAGTAGTCTATTTAAAATTAATCTAATAGGGGATTAAAAAAAAATGTCCAGGGAGTAAAATTTAAGGTCTAACCAAGCAGAATTTTGAAGCCAAGAGTCAATCAGTATTTGACTACGCACTTTGATGAAGCACTATTTTAGATGGTGTATTGATGGTGATATGTGTGTGGAGATTGGTGTAACATGGAGGTATTTCTGGTTGGAGATAAAAACAAAGAGGATCTTCAAAGAGTACAGCCAGGAACAAGCCACATGAGAAATGAATTCACTGTAAAAAGCTTTTCCTATCTTGTCAGTCCTCAGAATTTGGCCTCTTATGAGAGGTTTCCTCTGAGATCCCAATATTCATCTTTAGGGGTGCTCCATGTAGCCCCATGGGAGGAGGCCACAGTGAGCCTGGTGTTTTCAGAGGATTAATAAAACTCGGTTGTGAGTCCAGTCACCCCAGAGACTCCTGAGGGATCCTGAATAACATGCACATGCCATCTTCAAGGGGTGGAGACGCCATATTCTTGTTTAGGTCCCATCAGTGAGTCCCCAGTGACTCTTGATTTGCCGTGTCTCAGGTGAAATGGGGCCTCACTAAGGAAGTGATGTGATCAGGGTTGCATTTTTAAAAATTTTATTTATTTACCTGAGAGAGAGAGAGAGTGAACAGAGGGGTAGGGAGGAGCAGAGGGAGAGGGAGAAGCAGACCCCCCCCCCCATTGAGCAGGGAGCCCGACGTGGGGCTTGATCCCACGACCCTGAGATCATGACCTGAGCCGAAGGCAGATGATTAACCCACTGAGCCACGCAGGTGCCCCAGGGTTGCATTTTTAAAGGATTAAGACCTTGGGTGCCTGGGTGGCTCAGTCGGTTAAGTGGCTGCCTTCGGCTCAGGTCATGATCCCAGGGTCCTGGGATCGAGCCCCGCATTGGGCTCCCTGCTCGGCAGGAAGCCTGCTTCTCCTTCTCCCTCTCCCTCTGCCTGCCTGTCGCTCCCCCTGTTTATGCTCTCTCTCTCACTATCTCTGTCTCTGTGCCATATAAAAATAAATAAAAAATCTTTAAAGGATTAAGACCTTTGAAAGGAGAAAGGAAGGCTGACTGATAGGCTCTACTCTTATCAGCAGCTTTTCTGCAGACCTCCTTAAATCTTTTACACCTCTCCTGGCTTAGGTTAAAAGAAGCCATCCATGCCTTCCTCCTTCCACCCTGCTGCTAGGTGCTGCTAGATAAAACCATCCTATGGCTTTTATGCCAATTTGTCCTTTCCCAGATCAGGAGAACGAGGCTCCAAAAAGCCTTCTGTTCAACATGACTTACTTCCCTTCCAATTCCCTGCAGTGGCTACTTCACATCTGGACTATTCTCAAGCTAATTCTAACTCAACTCCTTGTTCCTGGCAGATGTGCTCACTTCCAACACACCAGAAATATACAGATTTCATACACAGACTGCCCCACTTCTCTTCTGCACCCCCACGCTTAGCGTATTCTCCTCTATGTTTTCCTCCCAGCTTCTGGGCTGTCCTCTCAAGTTACACTATCTACTTTGCGTTTTGTTTCAACCCTCTCCCCACCCCCCAGACCTTCCTTTCAAAGGTATCAGCTGTCTACTCTCTTGATCTCTTCTCCTGTAACAGTGTCTTTTCAGCAGAGAAACATGCCCAGGACTTCCCCACTTTAAAACAAACTAGGGGGGGCGCCTGGGTGGCTCAGTCGTTAAGTGTCTGCCTCTGGCTCAGGTCATGATCCCAGGGTCCTGGGATCGAGCCCCGCATCGGTCCTGGGATCGAGCCCCGCATCGAGCCCCGCATCGAGCCCCGCATCGGGCTCCCTGCTCGGCGGGAAGCCTGCTTCTCCCTCTCCCTTTGTCTCCCAGCTTGTGCTCTCACTCTCTCTCTGTCAAATAAATAAATAACATGTTTAAAAAAAACAAAACAAAACTACCCTTCTTCTCATCTTGCTTCCTCCTCCCTAACCTACCACTCCATCTCTCCTTCCCTTCACCAGAAAATGTTCCGAGAACGAGCTGTGCTCCTGGCCCCCACCCCCACACGTCTGCGGTGATCCACGATCCACAGTTCACTGCAGTCTGCTCCTGTTTCAACAAACCGACGGGCTCTGCTCTCTCTGAGGTCATTGGTCACGGTCACTTCAAACCAACCGTCTTCTCAGCCCTCCATCTACTGACTATCACAACATCTAACATTTATAACAAATGTGATGACGAACACAGCATCCGCTGCAAATAATTACAATGAATTCCCGTATAAGACTTGCTACTACGTGCCAGGCACTGCTCGAATCCTCACCACCACCATAAGATACATACTTTTATTCCAATTTTATAGGTGAAGCACAGGGTGGTTAAGTGACTTGTCTGAGTTCAGAAGCCTAGTGGGAGCCAGAGCCAGGACCCAAACTCAGGCAGTCTGGCTGTAGAGTCCCATGCTACAGTGGCAAGCTCTGAAACATTCTTCCTTAAGTGGCAGGATTCACCTCTGACCTCCCTCCTGCCCTTCTGAGGGCTTTCTGTCTTTGCCTTCTTCCCTATCTCCCCATTTCTGGTTCCTTCCCTTCTTTCCCTTCTTTCCCTTCCTTCCCTTCTTTCCCTTCCTTCCCTCCTTCCTTCCTTCTTTTAAATGATTTTATTTATTTATTTGAGAGAGAGATAGTGAGAGAAGGAACACAAGCAGGGGGAGAGGGAGAGGGAGAAGCAGGCTTCCGGCTGAGCAGGGAGCCCGATGTGGGGCTTGATCCCAGGACTCCGGGATCACGACCTGAGCCAAAGACAGACGCTTAACGAATGAGCCACCCAGGCGCCCCTCTGGTGCTTTTCTTAATGTTGATCCTTAACCTTCCTTGTTTCTCCGTCCATGGTCTTTAATCTTTTTGGGCTCACAGTCTGACCGGAAATGAGCTGAAAGCTGATGGATCAGCAGAAACTCCTTCCATGGACATGCACTCAGCCTTGGCATACAGTTTCCGAGTCCTCAAGGTGCTCTGAAGCCATTTGAGGATCCCCAAGGAGGTCATGGGCTTCACACTGACAACTGCTCCAGGCTCACTTGGTACTTAACCTCCAATCTTTGCCTCCACCTAATGCAACGTCAACCATTGCCTTCTCTGATCCCTGTTTATACTATTCATCAGAAAAATCAGTGTTAAATTTCACGATCTGACATCTCCACTGGATGGCAAGCAAGCTGAAGGCAGAGACCCTGTTTTACTTGACTTGACTACCAGGGCATGAACTGAGTCCTGAAGACTACAGAAAGCAGCACCACAGAGAGCATGTTGAGTCATATGCACAGAGATGTAGGGAAGCAAGGGCTGATGTAAGCCTCAGGTACCCATCCTGAGCGGGGAAGGGCTTGGAGTTGTTCACAAGAGCCAGGGGACAACAGAGTCCGTCACTAGCCGCTCCCCCTCTTATCCCCTCAGCCCAAGGACAAGTAACCCGAGGGGACTGGCTTTGTAAATAGAGAAGGGGCAGCTTCCAGCTTCCAGATGGACCCTCTGGGAGCCAGGTGGGCCTCGCAGTCTGGCTGCCCTTCCACCCAGAAGGGAGGGGTTCTCCGCTGCCTCAGCTCCTTGCCAAAGTGCCAGGATCCCCATGCCTCAGGCTTGCCCTCTGACCAGAAGGTGGGAGGCTATGCCATCGGAAAAGAGCCATACTCTACGCAGCTCTCTCGAAGAGCGCCTTCATCCTGGTGACGCCACTCACTTGTTCCGCCCTTTGGCCACCCATGCCTCTGCGACCTGGCGACGCTCTGAGACGCTCAGGGACAGGCCTTCTCCCGTCGTGCCATTCACTGTTCCAAACAGAGTCAGTTAGTGGGGCCAACCGATTCCTTTTGCCCCTCCAACACCAACGCAGGAAGTGCAGGGTCAGAATTCCCTGCTTAAGGGGAAGGGATGTGGGGAAAGATCAGAGGATGGAATCTGGAGGGGAAACGCCATGTTTCCATTTTTATCTAAGACTGTCTTTTTTCCATCTTCACCGTGTTCAAAGCAGTGGGAAGGTTAATTATGACTTGTAATGACAAACCTGTCCTTGCAGGGTATTTGAAAGCAGACTGAGATAACTGTCCTCATTTTAGGCAAATATCCAATTATTTGGGCTTGAATGGCAGGAAAATCACCACCACCCAGTACTGGGCTGTCAAAGGGGTCAAAAGTGGGATTTACTTATGAGGACAGTGGTACATACTACAGATCTACAAAGACCTCAGTCTAGAGTTTAACATGATTGTAGCACTCTAGGACAATTTCTTCATGGTAATTCATAAGAAAACACCAAGGATATTAATATTTCTTATTTAAGCACTCTTACAATAGTCACTTATTTTCACAACAACCCTGCAAAGTACAAATGGTTCTTCTCATCTACAGAGGCAGAGATGAGGTTCTGAATCACTAAATAAATTTGAATCCAAAGCTGTGTTTCTAAAACTTTCCCTTCTAATACAGTAATCTCTTAATGGATCACAGATAGTATGCAAACAGCACTAGGATACATTACTGGGGCCTAATGCATTTGGATCTCCAAATACTGAGCGCTCAGTTGGAGAAGGGGGGGTGAGAGTAGGAAAGAGTGTTTTTTATCACTCCTTTAGGGTCTTAATACACTTCCAAGTATGCTCTACTAGTAGGGATGTTCCTACTTTTTCCCTATACCCAGGGGAGAGCCGTGGCCCTTTGAAGAGTAAGAATCAGTCTTCCCCCACCATGGCTTGGAGCTGTAGGGGGACACCAAGTGGTTCTGTAATCAGGTTCTGGTTTTGACATGTGCCCTGACCACCTGTTCGCAGAGGCTTTAACCTGCCTGGATTATGACCTCGTGTTTCCAGGTTCTTGAGGGACCCCTGTTGGTAGAGCAGGAGCTTGGGAAAAAGCTGTAGGGTCCAGTCTGTAGGTAGGTGTTCAAGCACTCAGAACACCACACACGGAGCAACTCAATCACAGGTTTGTATATTCTCAGGCCTAAAATGTTCAAGGTCTGATTTTTTAATTTCCACCGTCCATGAAATAAATGAGGATAACTGCTGGATCTGTGATTCTTTTGTGTGCTGCATTTAGTCTTTCTACATTTATTATATGAAAAGTGTGGTGAAGACACAATAAAGCCCATTCTTAAGAGAGAGAAGTCTGGATTTGGCTGTTACTCTATCATTCCTTGGCTAAGTGTCTTTAGGCACCCTAAATAATATATCTGAGCCATAGATTTTCTTCTTTAAGTTGGGATAAAAATAACACCTTATCTGTTTTGAAGGTACACCACCAAATTAGGTAATCTCTTGAGGTGCTTTCCAGGTCTAAAATTGATGAGTCTACAGATTCGCAAATTTTACTTAGCTTAGCCAGGCTCAGTCATAACCTATGACACAAGACACTGTGACCTCTTAATTAGAACCAGGTGAGAGCTACTTTCTAAGGACCGGGCTAGAGATGTCTAGAGAAATGTCTAAAGATGACTCACCAAAAATATTCTTCACTCCCTGTTCTTCCACAAGATAATCCACATACTGACCAATGACTGAAAAGTTGATTTCTCTAAAGGACACAGGAAAAAAATGGGAAAAAAGCATATTTAGTCTTTATTCAACCAATCTTCAAATCTATAAACTGCTCTCTTTTGTTAATAGTTATTAAAAGTCCACCCAGCCATATTATGCTAAGCAAAATAAGTCAGAGAAAGACAAATACCATATGATTTCACTCATATGTAGAACAGATGAACATAGGGGAAGGGAAGGAAAAATAAGATAAAAATAGAGATGGAGGCAAACCATAGGGAACAAACTGAGCCATTAAAGAGGGAGTCTGCTCAGGGTTGCTGGAGGGAAAGGGGTGGGGGTAGGGTAACTGGGTGATGGGCATTAAGGAGGGCACTTGATATAATGCGCACTGGGTGTTGTATGTAACTGATGAATCACTAAATTCTACCCCTGAAACTAATAATACACTATATGTTAACTAAATTGAATTAAAAAAAAAAAGTCCACCTAGCCAATTTGTAAAATTCTTAACTTGCTCTAAATAATGCCTGGCTTTTCCTTGTTTTTTGAGCCTGGTGATTTCTCTACTTATTCATATATGCCTCACTTATGTGAGCAACACACCGTTATTTATCACAAAGGCTTTACCTTTAAACATTCTCACAAGTAATATTTAAAAAGTAATTACTTAGTAATCTTTTGCTCTTTTGGGGAAGCAGGATGATTGGGGCCATTGTTAAATGAGAATTTAATATTTTCCACTTGGTGAGAAGCATTTTTTAGGCTTACAAGATAGGAAAGTTGGATCTTAATAATTTAAGAATTTTAGCACTTAATATTTGTGACAGCAAATGAAAGCTTCAGTTGTATTTGCTAGTTTTAAATCAAAGAAGATTAACACTGGAGAGGAACTTTGCTCTCACTGCCTCTCAAAGCGTGGTCTGTGGAAGAGCATCTGGGGAGTCTGTAAGAAATGCAGAGCAGACTCCCTCTTTAATGGCTCATGGTATTGTAGCATTGCCCTCCCTGCCCCCACACAGTCCTAACCAGTCAAAATCTGCATTGTAACAAGATCCCCTTGTGATCTGCATGCACGCGGCAGTTTGAAAAGCAAAGACCTTATAAGGATCTGACGCTTAAAGCAATAAGGGCTCTTTTCCTTAGTCACATTGATTTTAAAATCTAGAAACTGACACATACACATCATATAAAATGACCTGTTCTCAGTCAAAATGCAGGTGAGGATGACGGGGGATGGATAGCAGGAGGAGAAGAATGAAGGGGAGTAAATCGGAGGGGAAGACGAACCATGAGAGACGATGGACTCTGAAAAACAAACTGAGGGTTCTAGAGGGGAGGCGGTGGGGGGATGGGTCAGCCTGGTGATGGGTATTAAGGAGGGCACGTACCGCATGGAGCACTGGGTGTTATGCACAAACAATGAATCACGGAACACTACATCAAAAACGAATGATGTGTTGTGATTAACATAACAAAAATTTAAAAGAGGGAAAAAAAAAAGTGAAAAGCCAAAGGAAAACTATGGCTGTGGCTATAGTGGGTGTTAAATGTCGCAGAAGCCATGGTTAGTTACATCGCCAAGGACAAAAAGTACTAGTTGGCTTCCATTTATATTTTTGTCAATGGGGGCCAGAGAATCCTAGTTTAATCTCAACCTATTAACATGCTTTTCATTTCTACTTACTGTATTCCTTAGCAAAAAAAAACAAAACAAAAAATCGGATGCGTATAGAAAACAAAGGCATCAAAGGGTAGTTGTCAAAGATAACAGGGACACGAGAGATAAAAGCAAAAGAATGCACAGGTGATCACTGTCCCCAACATGCAAATGACATCTGAGCCAGCCACTTGGGAAGAGTGTGTTTTAAGGCAGTTATAAAAGCCCCCAGGGGGAGCAGACTCCCTCTTTAATGGCTCATGGTATTGTAACATTGCCCCCCCCCCCCCCCCGCCCCACTTGCTCAAATGCCAAATCCTGGCCTCTGTCTTGCTGAGCAGGGAGGATTCCTGAATGCACAACAGGAACAAACTTAGGTTGTTCTCACCTAAAAGGAGGATGGGCAAGTTATCCGCCTAGACAATCTATCTCAACACCCTCATTTAGGTCAGCTTGACCTGCTCAACTTGAAATGTCTAAGCCTCAGACATTCCTGACCATTTGAACCTGCTCCTGGCTGCTTCCATCAAGCCCTTCACCACTTGGGATAAGTGACGAGATGCAGGACAATCAGCAGTGGTTTTGTTTGCAGGATAAAAACCCAGATTTTGACCTATGATGTCCATCTACCAATGCAAGCAACCAGGAAACAGCTCCCAATCACACTTCCAAATCACAGATTGGAAACAGAAAATAAACCTAGTGGGCAACAGCCTGTGTTGGAATCACAGATTCAAACACAGTGGCTCCCGGACACTTTCACTAAAGTCTTGACACCTCCCCAATCCCATCCCAGCCCCGTACTCAAGATCACCTAGGGTAGGCCTGGCTTTTTCACTGAGGGGGAGCTTGGAGAGCTCTGGATGGTCAGGGCTGGTAGGTACAGTACTCCCTCTGATGTGTGTTCTTTTGGTTTAATCTAATGCTTCATCATTTGGAAAGGGAAGCTAGAGAGCTTGTTTCCATTTTCAGAAGTACTTAAGGAGAGAAACTGTTTCTGTTGGGGGATGTATGTGTATATCCCCAAAGTGGACTCTAAACTCAGCAGGGACCCACACCGCCAGTCCACTGCATGTGCTCAGCACTCTACCTGGCTCCAATGAAACACTCAATCATTACTGCTGTTACTATTCCTCATGATGAAACCCAGAAATACCTCACACCCCCATCAAAGTTCACATCTCTATTACCACGAGGATCATTTTGTAAATTGTTTATGCCCACCCTCCAGGCTAGAGCAAGGACTTCCTGAAGGCAGGCACTGTGCCTTTTATCCCTGACAACCCCTTGTCTGCACCTGGCATAGTGCAGAAGCTCAGTGAGGAGGAAACCCCCATGATCTCTGCCTTCAGAGCAGCCTATCCCCACACCTGCAGGATATGTGTAAACTTCACTATTAACTAGGAAAGGAGATGGCATAGTATACAAATAACTAGAATATTAAGGAATGTACGTTGAGGGCTATGACTGAGTTAGAAAGTGTACAGGCGTTCAGAAGAGGGAATCACTCCAATTAGGGAGGCTGGGAAAGGAGGCTTCATGGAGGAGGTGGGTCTGGAATAAACAGAATGAAACCCTGCACTCCTCCTTCCCTCCCACGTTCTTAAGTTGCTGTCTATCTGGCCCTATTCTGGCGCCCTCCACTTTCCAGGGAGTTGGCTGCACCCTTAGGCAGATCGAGGCCAGTATATGAAATCCGCGGTTTCTTCTCCTTCCTCAGTGAACTCCACACTTCACTCTGTGGCTTCCATGGGTAATGCTTCCATCTACACTGACCCCCTACTCCTTTAGACTTTGCTGGAGGACAGCTACAAATTCCCTCGGGTTAGGGGTGATACATTATCTATCCCTTCAAGAAAGCAGTTTGTTGCTTCTTATAAAATGCCCCTAGCCTACAGGAGTGACACTAATGGTAGAATTTCTGGGCAGTGGCAGAGTTACCCCAAAATGTCCTTGGACAGATAGTCTTTTGGAACTACCAAGTCCTCTTAGAGAGAGAAAAAGGTTGAAAAGAGATGGCTCCTAAATGTGTTTTGACCTTCACAGTGATAAAAATTTTTCTTGTTATGAAAAATGATGGAAAAGCCAGAAGATCTAACAAGGCCAGGCCTACATTTCTGTACAGTACTGAATGGCAGGGAGGAGTTGTGGCTGCCCCCTTTGTAGGCATAGAAGCCCCCCAGACCACCTCAGGGATTTCAGGTCTCTGTCTGACTAGAGGTGCAAGCTTGCAGCCCTTGGCATTGTTGTTCAGTGGCTACAGTCACAAGTGAGCCCAGGGAAATTACCCAGAGCTGTTACCCTTGGTGTCACAAAAGTACCCCAACAGCAGGGCCAAGGTAGGAGCAGGATGATAATTCTCTCTGGGGACTTTGCTCCCTTCCCTGTTTCTCCACCATAATCTACCTCTCTGCGGTATGTGGGTTTATGTCATCCGAAGTCACTAGAGATAATGCAAATGGTAAGACTGGAATATTCTCTTCCCCGCTGGATGGCTGTCTGGGGTTCATTGCTCATGGAAGTAAGAGGTGGCACAAACCAGTTCTCTTCCAAAGGTGGGACTGCAATGTCTCTTCCTTTGTGAGCCTCAAGAACACATCCAAGTACTGGCCATCTCAGTGCTGAGTGACTCAGAACCAAATACCATGCTTGCTGAAGTCACTCCCCTACTTAACTCCAATTCACTATCTTAATTTCAGTTCCCATGGGTTCAGATTCTTTGCCTTAGGTCCATGATTTTCTTCCAATTTTTCATACCATAGAAGCTATGTCATTTATTTTTGAAAGTACACAAGATATAAAAAGAAGGAAAAACCCACTCATTATCTCCTTGGAGATTATCACTATTAGTAGTTTTGATATTTTTCTATTCATACAGTGCAGCGTTTCTTAAATGGATATGGTCATATTGTACAAAGCATTGTGATATTTATCACTTAGCATGCCAAACTGAGTATTTTCCCGCATCTTCAGATATTCTGTTCCTATATGGGCTACACAGCATTTCATTGTATGAATGAACAGAACTTAGCTAATCCTCTAGACCCTTGGACATTTAGTTTACTTCCAAACCATGTAAGAGGAGAGAATGTTTATCCAATTATTTTTGCCACAAATTGAGGCCCTGAGTGGATACCGTTTGAAACAGCATGTAGGCTGTCTCTCTTCTCCTAGGACAGAAGGATAAAGGAATTTTTCGGAGGTGGCTTTTCAGAGAAAAATCTCTATTGCTGTTCATTTCCTCTCCTGGTGTATGACACAAAACGAAAGACTTTCACTGTATCTGAGAATACAGAATCACCAGGGAGGTCTTTTCATAACTGGCACACATGTCAGAAAATCGGATTTTTTTGCCTTTTACATATAACTCTCAGCATTCAAAACCAGATGAAAGTTATGTGTGCTTTTGGCAAAATAACTACTTGGCTACTTTAAAACTCCTTGGGCAGAGAAGTATTCAGGGACCATAACTGCCCTGCCTTGCCAGAAAACATTCTGTTCTGGGAATCTGGGTCATGTAGTCCCCCCACACAGTTAAAAAGACAATACCAAACTCCAACTCCAGCAGTCCAGGCCCCTTCTGACTGGGGTAACCAGCCTGTTTTTACTAGAGGGTATTGTGAAGATTCCCATGGTGAAGTCAAAGGCATTTGAGGGAGAAAATAACTTTTTTTTTTTGACATTTTAGCCAATCTGAAATTTCTTTCTTTCTTACAGATTTTATTTGTCAGAGAGAGAGAGAGAGAGAGAGCACAAGCAGGGGTAGCGGCAGGCAGAGGGAGAAGCAGGCTCCCCTCTAAGCAGGGAGCCCAAGGCGGGACTCGATCCCAGGATCCTGGGATTCTGACCTGAGCCAAAGGTAGACACTTAACTGACTGAGCCACCTAGGCGTCCATGAAATGGACTTTTTTTTTTTTTAATTTTATTTATTTGACAGAGAGAGACACAGCAAGAGAGGGAACACAAGCAGGGGGAGTGGAAGAGGGAGAAGCAGGCTTCCCACGGAGCAGGGAGCCCGATGCGGGGCTCGATCCTCATGACCTGAGCCAGAGGCAGACGCTTAACGACTGAGCCACCCGGGTGCCCCTATGAAATGGACTTTCTATTTTAACGACTGTACTTGCCCAAGGGAAGAAGTGACTTCTTGAAACAACTAAGGAAAGCAAACGTCTTCTAGTGTGTAGAAAGACAAGAGATGAGATGGGTAGAGAAGGACCTTTCTCTCTGGCTCCATGGCTAGGTGCAGTGGGTTAACGTTTTAGGATCTTGGTCTCATCAACTGCAGAAACAGAGGTTACAGTTCTCTCTCAGAATTGTTATGAAGATGAATTTGGAATATGTACATTAAAATGCCAGCACAATGACACGTAGTGTTTAGCCAATTAGTGTTAGCTTTTCCTCATGAAATAACAAAATTTACCATTCACTGTGCTAGATGCTGAAGATACAAAGATAAATAAGAAACATGCTCAGTCCTTGTGTATTGTCTGGTACTCGACAAATATCTCTCGAATAAGCTTAAGCAGCTCAAAGCCTGTTGGGAGAGACAGGCACGTAACAAACAGTTATTAGAGCAATTTTCATTAGCAAATACTTCTGATGTAATGTGAAAAGGTGTGCACAGGCTACTGTGGGAGCACAGGGGGAAGAACTCTGTAATTCTTTATAGGAAATGGGAAAGAAGCACCAGAGAATGGCTTTGATGGATGACTAGAAGTGTTCATGTGGAGTAGAGAGAGGAGAGCATGGTGGTAGAAAAAGGCAGAGGAAAGAGAATGTGTAAAGGCACGGAGGGAAGAAAGAACATGAGGTGTATGGGGCAATAGAAATGTAGCAGGAGAGGTATCCCAGATAGTCTGGGCTTTAACTTTATTTTTTTTATTATTATTATGTTATGTTAATCACCACACATTACATCATTAGTTTTTGATGTAGTGTTCCATGATTCATTGTTTGCATATAACACCCAATGCTCCATGCAGAAAGTTGGGCTTTAACTTTAGATCAGTTCATCTTAGACTTTAGTGTGCTAAAGAATCATCCAGGGACAGTGAAAATGCAGGTTCTGACTTAATGGTATGTAGGAGGGCCTGAGATTCTGCCTTTATAGCAGGTTCCTATGTGATATAGAGCAAACAGTCCATGGACCACATGACGAGTAGTAAGGCTTTGACAAAAGGGGATCGGCAGAGAGTCTTAAAGAGGGAAGTCTTTTAGAGAGACTCTAAAGTCTCTTAAAGACTTTAAGAGAAGTCTTAAAGAGGGAAGTCTTAAATCTAAAATTAGATTTATTTATGAGGACGCTCACTGGGCTGCAGTGTGCAGGTTGGACTGGGGTTATAGGTACTTTATACATTCTTCCTGGGATCACTACAATATCCCTCATGACATAACACCAGAGGGCTGCACTCTTTGAATTCAAATGGGACTCGGAGATGATATGGCTGAACACTTTACAGAATATGAAAGAGAACTTTTAACAGATGACAAGACCTTCCCAGGGTCAGACAGCTAATTGGTGGTAAAGCTAGGGGTCAAGAACCCAGATACTCTAACTAAAATCCATTTAACCATGTTCTTCCTGTAAACTTCCCCACTTCAGAACAACAACTTATATTCAGAATTGAATTTGGATATTTCTTAGAATTATAAAGAAAAAAGGATGCAGGGGAATAGCTCTTGTTCAGCCATTCTCAATCATGGAGACTGTGGCTTAGTTTATGAGCCAGGTTGGGAAAACTCGCATGATGGCAGGTCACCAGGCAGAATTTGCAGTTATTCGATTCCATGTGACCCTTCTTTCTGTCTCCTGGAAACATAAGTTCACACTCCCCTGTGGGCAAGTAGGCAAATGCCCATCTGCTCTCAGTGGGAGCTCCAATCTTGCTTTGTACCCACAGTAATGTTTGAATGAGAAGGGCAGGTGGTGGGAGATATGGGAGCTAATATAGCTTACATGCCTACTACGTGCTCTGTACTGACATACATTTTAATTTAATTCTTAAGGCCCTTGCAAAAAAAATACATTCTTATTTTGATTGCACACATCAGGAAAGTGAAGGTCCTAGACGGGAAAAGGATAAAAAAAAAAAAAAAAAAGAAGAAGAAGAAACAGAGAAATGGAGGAAGCAGGGCCAGAGGTATTGGGGAATGGAGAAGGATCCAGAAAAGCAGAGTCATTTATCTTCATATGTGGGGCTCGGCGATCCCGGAAAACAGCAGAATAGGGAGGAAGAACACACCAAAACTCTGAGTCCTAAATGAACAAATAAGACTGTTCAAGGAGTCTCTTCTAGGCTGAGGGATCTGATTAAAAAGGTTAAAGCAGCATCAACCAGATGTAGTGTTGTGAGCCTGCAAATAGGATCCTTCTCAATAACAGGAAGTGAATCCTGCCTGCTCATGCAATCACATGATTTATCTGTTTTATTGGCCCAACAAGTGGCTAACACATCAACAAAGAGCTGACTTCAGTCTTTCTTTGGACTTATGGAAACTGAGAAGCAACAGAAAAAAAAAATTGCTACGAATCACTGAGTAATCTAAATGCTATCTCAGCAAGAATTTGATTTAGACGTAAATGGGATTTTTCATGAAACTTGGAAACTGGAGGTGTTGAACTCCAGTGATCTAAAGCTAAACTGTGATAAGGCCAACTTTGAATGAAAATACTAAGTCTTAAGAAATTTCGCCTATTTTAAAGGGGGGTAGGGTTAAAGTTTACAAATTCAACAACAAAAGACCAAAAAAATAAAAGCCTTTCTTAAAGATCTCTTAAATTCCGCACCTTCCTTTTATCCCTGTCTGGTTCAAATGAACGTACTGACCTAAGTGCATCCTGACCCTGTGCTGAGCACCATTATATGGAATATCTCACTTTAACACCCAGAACTCCACCATGCAGGTTAATTATCATTGTATTTTAAAGAGAAAGAAAGGAGAAGCTTAAAGAAGCCAGAATTCTTTATATAAATAAAGCCAGATGCTTTATTTAAGCTACACTTTGGTTTATCCAAGCACACTTTCCAGTATGCGACTGTTTTGGCACACTGACCACTCTAAGGGGTCAAAAGCATTTAGATCCAGGTGGATAAATTCCCTTTTTGTCCATGGCAATGTCCAGAGAGGGGTTATACACTTGTGGCACATGACCATTAGCTGATAGTACGAGCAAAGGGACTGCCATAACGTTCACCTGGGAGTTAGGGTGCTTGTCTGGGTAAGGAGTTCTCAGCAATCATCTGTTGTTACCTTCCACTCCTGCAGGCCCCCAACATTTAACCCATGTTGAAATGAGACTGTAAACATACTAAGGGGTCTACCTTGCAGCTAACTTCCCCTCTTTAGTCAGGGGAGGACATTTTCATCACATCTATGAACGGCCTGAGGTGGAATCACGCAGCTATCTAGAGACAGGATCCAGAGGGGCCAGGCCAGGGCTTAGAAGCAAACTGTGCTAAAATGAGATTCTCCTCATCCAACTCCACTGGCCTTATTTGGGAAAGCCAGGCCTCTGATGAAATCCAAAGAGAATTTATCTTGTGGAGCTGTAGACACTGGGAGAAAGGCAAGATGCCATATCTTACCTTCTCTCTTTCTGCACTGTCTGTGATATAGAGACGCTTCTCTGAGTTGGGATCAGAGACAGTATGGGGGAGGGAGGACTGACAGAAGTGGCCACTTGGCAAGAGTACCACAGAGGCGCAGAATCTAAGTGACTGCTACCATAGAGAACTTCTGTCCATTTTGGTGGAGTGAGAACAGATTCCCCTTAGGTCCCAAATGATAGTTACCCATGCTCAGTCATTGGCGTGATGGTTGCAGCCACGAGACCTTGAAGCTTCTTCTTCGGGGAGCCCATTGAGCTGCTGAAAAAAGTCTACGAAACATAAATGTAATTCCTCTCCTTCTTCAAGGAATGTCCATTAATGATAAAACTCCCAGGCAAAGTCCATTCCCAGTTTAGAATTGTGAAAAATGCTTACAAGTACACAAACACACAGAGCAAACAGAAAGAATGTAACATGGAGAGCTTAATTCTGCAGAGGAGGTGGCTGTTTTTAAAGACAGGAAAACGGGGAGAGAGGAAGGGAGCAGTGTTCCAGAAAGCACTATCAGAAAGGCCTCTCACTTTATCTCTACAGGTGATACAGGCAGTCTGAAACCTCAAAGAGCAGGGGTAAACAACAGCAGATCCAAGAAAGAAAATGAATCTAACTCAGGGAGGTCAAATATATAAAAAAATTACTACTCCTTAAATTGTAATATGGTCAGGACAAGAGGGACATCCCTTTTTCCATAGCTCCATTCTTTTAAGCAAGAATCTCACCTAAAACCAGCACTTAAGAGTTTTAAGGCTTCAGTGTGATCTAATTAACTATCTTCAGATTTCCCTAGCCTTTCACATTCTAATTTCAACCAGTTTTGCTCTGTTTTCCTACCTCTAGTAAATCATGTAAACTCTATCATGATTGTTTATTTACCTCTCTCCCACTAGACCAAGCTCCCCAGGACAGGGAATATATTTTATTTGCCTTTTCCTGCACTGAAATACCTGCTGGACACCTTTTCTTCAATTAAAAAGTGATGAATATGTGGGTAACTGAGTGAGGTATTCAGATTGTAGCTAGATGATGACTTCCAGAACAGGGAGATCACTGCTCAGAGACTCAACCTGACCCCACTCATTTGGGGCAGAAGGATTCCTCACCATCTGACAAGAGAGTACACCTGTCATGCCAGTGGAAAAAAGTCTAGAGGTTGTGGAAAACAGGCATGAGAGGCAACAGAGTATCCTATTTAATAGCCTGGATTCCACAGGCAGACTTCAAAGCTCTCCAGCTTTGCCACTTACCAGTTACGGAAGTGTTACTATTTTTTGAGCTCAGGGTGGCTCAGTCGTTAAGCGTCTGCCTTAGGCTCAGTTCATGGTCCCAGGATCCTGGGATCGAGCCCCGCCTCGGGCTCCCTGCTCAGAGGGAAGCCTGCTTCTCCCTCTCCCGCTCCCGCTCCCCCTGCTTGTATTCCCTCTCTCGCTGTGTCTCTCTCTGTCAAATAAATAAATAAAATCTTAAAAAAAAAAGACATAAAAATTCAAAGCCACGAATGCAAAGTCTAACAACTGCAGAAGAAAATAAAAATATAATGAGTGTATTTGGTGACAGACAAAAGATGTCTGGCTTGGAGCAAGCACAGTGATATCTATAGGTAACAGAGAAGATGGGGTATATTACAGTTCTGAAGTCACTGGCATATTTAAAAACCCAATGCCCGCTACACTTAAATTTGACCTACATAATGTAATAATTACAAACTATTTCATTTTGTTCGTTCTTTATAACTGTTCATCTCAACTCCCTAAATGGGAGTATAAACTTACGGAGTACATATATCGTATCTTCTACTTTTTTTATATCCCCCAACAATTCTGGCTCTGGTGAGCCCTTGAAGCCAGAAACAGGACAAAACAAGGACAAAGACATGAAAGGGCACAGTATGGCAAAACTTACTGCTTTTGTAGAAAGCCAACTCGATACCTCCCTGACAAACAGATATCTCCCTCGCAAAACTTGCTCCTGAAATTAAGCCCAAATCCTTCAAGTAGCTTTGCTCTGCACTAAAGGGCAGGCAATAAAGGGGAACCTTGCCTGATATACGGGATTCTAGGATTTCTCTGACTTTTCCTAGTTTGAAGAGGAGACAAAATCCTGTGGGAGGTTTTGAGAGATAAATGGGGGTCCATTGGGAAAACACAGGGCCAGGGCACAGACCCTGTCTGTCCCAGAGGAATGTCTGTACATTAACTGAGATGGATGCTATGCTTGCTGCATATCTTCACCTGGCACTCCTGCAAGTATCTGAACTCAAGATACCTGCCAACATGTCCCCCAAGATTTCTTCCTTTGTTCTTTATAGTAGAGGGGTTGGAGCACTAGCTCTGGAGTCAGACATCACGGGTCTGGATCCTGGCATCACCACTTAGCAACGGGGCGGCCCTGGAACTGTTAATCACCTTCTCTGTGAGTCTGTTTTCACTCCCGTAAATAATAGCAGTCATATTTCATAAGTTGTGGAGAGTAAAATGAATTAATTATCATAGAATGATTAACAAGAGTGCCAGACACATAGTAAGTACAAGTGTGAAGTCTTGTCAGATAGCTACAGGACGTTAGCAAGTATTATTATTTTTACCAGCACCTTCTTTCCTGTCATTTCATCTTTACTGGTATTGCTTCTCTGACCCTCAGTACTCTGGTCCATTCAGGGACTAAGTCATTTCAATGCTCTTATCTTCCTTCCCTGCAATCCTTCCCTCCCTGCTTACTGCCCCTCTCAGAACTTACCCTTTGTTACCTCTTATCTAGACCAATGGACACAACCTCAGGTCCAAGGAGCCCAAAGGGGCTCAAGAAGGTGCAAATGATAAGACTCTCAACAGCTAGGTTCAGCACTAAAAGTCTCCTAATTCAAACCCTACCAGGCTGCTCACACTATACTTCTGTATTCTGAGCTGTATTTATTTCATACTTAGGGCAACTACATTGATATTCTTAGGACTGTCAGAAGCTTGGATGGGTAGTTTTATATATGCTGTTGATTGAAAGAAATAATATTAAGTGCATGTAAATGCAATTTGGTTAAAAAAAATTTCAAAAACGTAGAGCCTGTAGGCGTGTGGGGTCAGAGTTGGGAATTATTGCCCTAATCCCCACTCTCCTCCTCGAATCCACATAGGCTGCCAGGTTAATCTCCTGGTAGCACAGACATTTCTGGTCCTGCCTTTGCCCTGCTCAGAAAATGCCAGTAACTTCCCCCTGGCTTCCGTAGGAGAAATACCAAACTCCCTGGTGTAGGTCTCTGTATAGATCTCTTCATTTCATCTCAACTGATTCCTGGTGCTCGTCTCTACCATGTCCGGCCTGCTTCCTCTCTCCTGAGGCTCTCCCATCTGGAATGACACTATCTCCCACTTCAGCCAAGTTTAAAAATTCACTGAAAAACTAGAGAATTTCCCCTGATCCCCCAAGAGGAAGATAATTTCTTACTCCTCAAAATTCCCTCAACAAACACTTGCTTTTCCTTAAAAATTTTACCTCAGAGTTATTAGGGTAGTTTTGGCTTTTTTTCTACAGTGCAAGCCACCAGGGGGCAGGAACAGCTTCAAAAAAAATCTATCTGCCGAGCAATACACTAAATGAGCAAAATTTGCTGACTTTGCGAACACTGAAACTCCAGGAAGAGATGGGGCGAAAGGATCACAACAACAGTAACAGATAATGGTTGCTATTTCGTAAAATTTGAATTTTAAATAAACTTGGTAATGTCTAGCTTTGGTATTCTTTATAGCTTGTATCAGAAGCAAATGGTTAGAACGTTCTCCAGCCTAAGGCTTAACGTGAATTTGGAATGTTAACACTGAAACGCTGGGGAGGGGATATTACTCTTGAAATCTTTTTTTTTTTTTTTAAATGTTTTATTTATTTATTCATGAGAGTCAGAGAGAGAGAGAGAGAAAGAGAGAGGCAGAGGCAGAGGGAGAAGCGGGCTCCCTGCGGGACTCGATTCCAGGACCCTGGGATCATGACCTGAGCCGAAGGCAGACGCTTAACCATCTGAGCCACCCAAGCGCCCCTTACTCTTGAAATCTTGTACCTCCGTTCACTGACAACACTTGGTGCAAAGAATTCAAGTTGCCTAAGTCAATCCTCGTAAAAGGACAAAGTTGAAAAAAGTCTGGGGGAGAGGAAGGATGCAGTTCTGGGCATGGTGAATGACTTAAGAAATACACAGAAAAGAAAGAGAAAATGGAGAAACTAAAGAAACAAACACAAAAACAAAACGCAGAAATATAACGAAGTTCCCATAAATAGAAGGCGCTGGATCAAATGCTACCGCTAAAGTCTGTTTCGCTCCACGGCTGCCTCGGGTCACTTTGAGGAAAGGAGCCTTGGAGAAAGCTACGCGATCCCGAAAGCATCCCGGGGAGTGGTTCCTCCGCCCGCGGCGGTGCGGACGTTCGCTCCAGGCGGAAGGGTGTCGCGTTCACACTTCCTGTTGCCCCACGGTCCCAGCTTATCTGCCCTCCCCTCTCCTCCGGGCCGCCTCCGGCCCCCTCCCCGCCACCCTCTGCCCCCTTCCGCTGGTGGGCTGGGGGTCTTCGCCTGTCCGTCCGCCCCGCGGGAGCCGCGCTCACCGGACGCGCCCGGGTCCTCCTCGCTCGCCGCGGCAGCCGCCGCCGCCGCTCCCTGCACCGCCGCGCGCCGCCCCGCGCCCCCGCCGCGGCCTTTGCCGCCTCGGCTACCGCGCGGCCCCGCACCACGCGCCTCCACTCCCGGGCCCGGAAAGGCGGGGCCCGCGCCTGTACCCGCGGCGCGCGCAGAGGCGCGCCCCCGAGACGCTGCGCACGCGTGCGGTTTCCCCCCACTCGGCGTTACCTGGGCGGTGTGGGTGAGGCGCCGGGACTGCGAGCACCTGAGCTTGCGCCTCGGGACCCCGTCGCGCGTGCGGCGGTGCGCCTGGATTCCTCCGGGCAAGCCTCATCTCTTCCTCTTCGGCTCAGCCAGTCCTTCCGCTTGCTGACGCCTCCTGGGCTCTCTTTCTTAATAACTTTTGTCCAGGGCCCTGCAGCAACAGGTTATTTCGTGGTTGTGGGCTTTGAAACGTCTGCTCTTTCAGAAGCTTGCTGAGAACACCGCCTGCCAGGAGATGACGAACTTTAAAAGCGGATTAGTTACTTAAGTGGCAGCTTTCCTGCGTATTCTGGAGAACAGTTGAGTTTTGAAAGGGAGAAATAATTTTAAACAAAGTATCTCTACTTGCAGGAATGTCAAGAGTTTATTTTCTAATATCACGTACTGTGCTCATAAATCAGAAACACAGCCATAAACAAGTCCTCAGCTCCCTCTTGCTGAGGTGAATTAACCTCAATTTTCCATAAAAGGCAGTGGCCGGTGCTTATTTCATTTAGAGAAAATAAATTTCCCAAAGGGCTTTCTAGTTTGCACCGTGCTTTTAAATCCATTGTAGAAGTTCTTTCATTGCACACAGCTCCAGAAACTAATTCATTAATCAATTCAAGTTCAATCCTTTGTGATGGGTACTATTTTTTAAGTTCATATTTTAGAGTTGAAGCATCATCTCATTCAGAGACGTAGAGAGTTTAAGTGATTTGCCAAAGGCTATCAGGCTGTGGGTAGTTAAGCAGTGATTTGGATTCAAGTAGTCTGGAAGATGATACTTTTAATCACCACTCTATGTTATCCGGCAAAAAAAGAAAGGGAAAATCCTAGGTTTGTCTTGTAATGTTGACAAGAATATTATATCCTAATGGGACAATGTTAGTAATTTTTTTTCAAAGTCACACATTAAATATTTCAGTACCCAAAAGGTATAGGACATTAGGTTTAAGATTGTCAACCAATAAACCAATATGCTAAATGGATAAACTACTGTTTAAATAAATATGGTAGTACAAAGCAATGCCTTCTAGTAATGTGTTAGGGTTTGCTAAGAAACACATGCTACATTGGGATTTGATGTGCAGGAAATACACTGGGGGAGGGACCCAGAGAAGGCAGGGATTGTCATTCAGGGCTGACACCTGCGGAAGAAGCTATGGAAGGAGGGTGGGGAAGGAAGGGTCTCACTGGGATGGGGGAAGGGCACATCATAGCCTCACCCCTTAAGACACTCACAGCTTCTCCAATGAATTGTGGGGAAGACATTTATCTTTAAAAAATACGTATGCCTGTGCAAAAATATGAAACACTGAGGGAGGGGAAGACCTTAATCTGGGGAGAGGGGTGAGTGTGTGGGTAGGCATGTATGTGTGTGTATGATGAAGCAGGACAGTGTTTCTGAAAAGTCTTCCTGGGGGAGGGTGACACCTGAGCTGTCTTAGACAAGGAGTAGGCCTTAGGAGTAGGCCTTAGGATAAGGAAGAGGCAGCAAAAGGCTCACTGCTGGCCGGAAGTCCTCTAACACTTGTCTGCTAAGTGGCATGGGCTCTGTGACCTTTCTTCTATTGTTATACAGTATCATTACTTTTCATGCTCTTATTTCTTGTCCTGCAACTCCACTGTGAGGTGCTCAAGGCAGGTGCCATGTCCTCTTCTTTTGTTTTTCCTACAGTGCAGAGCGCAGTCCTGTCCATCTGCAGGCCAAGAGGGTGGGATTTGGAGACATTTACTCCCTTCAACTCTCCTTTGTTTTAAAAAAATATATTGGGGTTCCACATCACATTGTGTTCACAATTCAAGTTTGAAACTCAGTGACGTGGAGGAAAGAGCTTGGGGGATACAGTGCACTGTAATTGATCAGACTGGTCACATGTTCCATCCTTGGAGAGGGCAGTGGACCCCATCACGGCCTCCGGAACTAATGTGGGAAAAGGGTGGTTCCCCAGAAGGGTTCCCCTCACTTTCTTGTAATGATGTTAAATGCTCTAGTACCAATTTCAGGGTGTGGGGGGTGTTCCCCACACTAAGAATGAAAGGTTCTCTGACACCAGCTGGGTGTCCTACAATTTAACTCAATTCTGATACTATCTACTCAGAGATGGCATCAGATTTCCACAGATTAAGGGTTCAGTCCTACAGGTCTGCTCTCCCCACCCCACCCCCACTTCAGACACCACATCAGACCCAGGCTCTTACCTGTGCTTCTGACCCATTGGCTATAAACCAGACCCCTTCTTTGATTAATTTGCTGCAGCAGCCCACAGAACTCAAAGAAACATTTTACTTACTAGATCACTGGCTTTTATAAAAGGATGTAACTTGGGAATAGCCAGGGGGAAGAAATGCCTAGGGCAAGGGATGGGAAAAGGGCTCATAGTTTCCCTGTTTTCTCTGAGTACGAGTGTATCACTCTCCTAAAATCTCCATGTTCACCAACTAGAAGCCTGTCAAAAGCCCTCCTTTTTGGGTTTTTATGGAGGCTTCATTACATACGCACAATTGATTAAATCACTGGCCATTGGTGATTAATTCAACTTTGGAGAAGGTTGCGAGTAGAACTGAAAGTTTCAACCTTCTAATCACATGGTTAGTTCTCCTTGCAACCAGCCCCCATCCTAAGTGCTTTCCCAAAGTCACCTTATTCACATAACAAAAGACATTTATTGCTCTCATCTCTTAGAAATTGCCGAGAGTTTTAGGAGCTCTGTGCGGGAAATGGAAGAAAGCAAAATATACATTTTTTATTATATATTATCTACATTGTGTATTATATATATATACAGTTGTCCTTACCAGAAAAGAGGAAATGGATTGTAGACAGACAGAATACTGCTATATTGAGGAACATTCAGGAAGGAAGGAGAATGTAATTTGGATCTTGAAAGTGTTGCTATCCATTGTGGGCCTGAAAAAGTTGTCCATAGGTGAGCAAGAAGAGTTCTTTGCATTCCTTGTAAAGACATATAACCGAATCATAGGTATGAGAATTACTCCTGGAAATTCTGGTTGTGTGGGCATGTTGGTGGGGCTGGTGGAAAAGCCAAAGTTTATTTTTTGCATCAAAGTCCAGAGATCTTCAGAGCAGGGAGCAGGCCGTGACTAGAAGTGGGACATGATTGCTGGTCCCCAAGACACCTTTTCAGGGTTTTATTTCTGAGGCTGAATGCCAACTAGTAGAGGGACATCTCTTGAGAGAAGAAAAGGCCTGTGCAGAAACTGGGTTTCAGAGAACACTTTGGGGTCATAGGAAAGGGTAGTTTTGAGAGCAGTCATGCTTAACTGTCTCCTGGCCAGGCCCTTTGGTGAAGGCATATTGGGTTCCAGCTCAAAGGAAAAAATGAACAGAAGATGCGCTTCCATATTTGGCATTCTTAACCCAGGATCTGTGACTCCAGATTTTTATTTTTAATAGCAATAATCTCAATCTTTTAATAATGCTAACCTTTATGGAGATACTATTCAATACTATACGATTCACCTATTTTTAGCATATTTCAATATTCTCTGCTGTAATTTCACAGAGTTGCACAACCATCGCTGTAGTCAATTTTAGAGCAATTTCATGATCCCCCAACAATCCATACAGTTAGCAGTCACTCCCCATTCTCTTCCTCCTCCTGGCCCCTGGCTCTATGCAACTGTTAAGCTTTCTGTTTTTATAGATTTGCCTGTTCTGGACATTTCATATAAATGGAATCAGACATCATGTAGTCCTTTGTGTCTGGCTTCTTTCCCTTAGTGTAATGTTTTCAAAGTTCATCCATCTTGTAGCAGGAATCAGTACTTCGTCCCTTTTTATGGCCAAATAATATTCCATTGTATGGGTATACCACATTTTATTCATCGGTTGAGGGACATTTGAATTCTTTCTGTTTTTTGGCTATTATGGATAATGCTACTATTGTGATGGCAGATTTTAGACCTCCTGGAATATTGTGGTATCTTTTTTCCAGTGGAGTTAGTGTATGGCATTTTGGCCTCTGTTTAGTTTTTCTGAAGCCCCAAGTCCTTGTCACGATCAGGCCTCTCACCTGTGCCCAAGCTGCTCTTCTGCAGGCTGACTGCTACTCACTCATCCTTCAGATCTTGGCTCAAATGTAACCCTCCTGAGAAGTTAACTGGTGCAGACCCTCCTCATAGCACCCAGTGCTTTTTCCTTCCATCACAACTCATTAGTGTGTTTAGTGCTCCCCATTAGTTGGTTAAGTTTCATGAGGACAGTGAACTGTTCTCTTCCTTGGGACACATATAGTGCCTGCTACATGGTAGGCACTCAATAAGTAGTTGAAATAGTACACAATGCAGAATGAATCTTGATAAGTGAGAGCAGTATCCTAGCTCTGTTGCCTGAACATAAACTTTTGAATTGATGGGAGGAGGCTACCTCTTGTTGACTGGTGTTTATACAAGAGTCAGGTGCCCTGTGGCCAAGAGGGATGGTGTCAACACAGAGAATGAGAACTAGGGAGCACCGAAGACAAGGGGGCCAGATAAAGAGGCCTGCAGTACCTCTCTGAGAGCAAGAAGGAAGGGATTGTTGACTGCATTAAATCTGGGGGATGTTGCCTTGTTGTTGACTTTGGGCCCCTTTTTCTGGATTGTATCTATGGTCTGACATGCCAATGGGATCCCCACATTGATTTATCACCCCATAATAATTGGAAAACACTGAAAATTTGGGCCTAGTTTAATGATTGGCAAGGGAGAATTATGAGGGTGCCATCGTTTGAAAACAGAAAAGGAAGTTAATATTAATTTTGCTTGGCAGGTCTTCTTTGACAATATTAAAATAATTACAGAGGCAGAACTTCCTTTTGAAGGATGTTCAGCTTGTATTAGGTATTGCCTAGAGGAACATTAGGCTGTTAGAAGGCTCACAAATGAGTCTTTTTTTTTTTTTTTAAGCAGACATGACTGTCCTAAATTGTGTATTAGGTAAGAATTTTACAAACATTACTTATATTAGCGGTAACGGTGGAGCTGGAGAGTATTACGTCTTCTCCATGACACATGGCGAGAACCACCAATAGTGTGGTGGAACTTGTGACCCTTTCCAAGGCCACGGCTCCTGCAGTCTGCAGATGTCAGCCCT